TTTCTCCTCCAGATTATTCATCCAGCCTATCTTATTTAGACAGACCTGCGGAGATAATAACATGCACAAAAACAAGACAGAGGAAAACCAAACAACAATAGACAGCAAAACAACAACAAACCAATGACAAAAAACAAAACAAAACACAACCAGAACAAAAATTCCTTGTAATTAGTTCAAGGACTGTTTTTTGGTCTTTAGGAGTGTTTTCCAGTCCAGTCTGTTGGGGAACCATGCCCTGGCCCCAAAGTCCACCTTCGGCATTCCCTGGGGACCTTGCCGCTCCATTCCCTTGCTGTTCTCTTGCACCCCCTTAGTGTTTTGCCTCAGTGTGGTGGGATCAGATCAGGCGCAGTTCCCACACTGTGTCTCTAGTGTTGTCCCCTATAGGGCTATGGGTCAGTGAGGGACGTCGTGTCTCATAGTGTGGCCGGCCATGTGGTCCTCTCCGTGGACTGGCTGCTCCAATCGGGAACATCATCCTCAAGGTCTGGTGGGGTAGGATGTACTCCACTCTCTCCTTCCCCTTCATCTGCTTCCATGTGCTCTGGTCAGATATGTCCCTCTCATGGAGCTGCAGATTCAGTGCCAACCTTTGAAATAAATTCTGCTGGGGGGAGGAGCAGGTGTCCACGTAGTAGTTGGGATTGTGGCCTTATCTGATGTGTATAACAGTCCAATGGACTTGTGTTTGTTGATTTTGTATCCTGCCACTCTGCCAAACTCCTCTATTGCTTCCAGTACTCCCCTTGTGGAACTTTTGGGATTTTCCATATCTGGTCGAGGGGATTTTTTTTGTTGGTAATCCCTTGACAACCTTGTCTATTTCTTCTATTGGTCTGTTAGATTTGATCTTAAAGTGCAACTTCCAGGCAGTGCTGGGGATGTAATAGTTACATGAGTGCACATCTATGTTTATTCCTGTATCTATAGCTTTGCTTCCTAGAGCGTTCCTCTGTTTCCTTTTACCTTCCTCTTGCCCCACTATCATGCTCACCCTTCTTCTGCTTCTTAGAAATTCAGCTAGATTGCTGTTGCTCCTACATCCCAAGGATCTCTATGTCCTCCTCATTGTTGTTTTTAATTCCCTAGTTGTTCCCATCTATGACGTTGTTTGCTCGTTGCTCCTTTCCCCCACCTCCTCCTTTCCCCAGGTCCCTCTGGAACTGTCAGTCCCATTTATTTCTCCTTGGTCTCGCTTCTCATGCCTATCTTATATGGGTGGGCAACCCCCACAAAACAAACCCCCAACAAAAACAATAACAGAGACAAAACAAAAAGAAACCAAAAGATTGAATAAAAAGAGAAAAAACAAAGAAAAAAGAAAAAACAAGTTAAACCCCTTCCTCCCTCCCCTTCAAAGCATACATAATTCCAGGTGACTGTCTCCCTTCTGGTCCTGGGGGCTTCCGGGAACTGCCCCCCAGCCTGATCCCCTTGGTAAATTTTAAGAAAAGACCAATTACAGCAGTTAGTGAGGGTTGATTCTTACAGACTTTTACATTTCTTTCCCTTACAATGAGCACCTCATCAACTTCTTTCCAAACAACTTACTGTACACCTTCAAGGCTCTTTGTTATCTTTTGTAGTCTGGCATCACCAGGCATTCTGTTGTAAGACAGAACTATTACCCATCTCCTTCTCTGACCTTCGGGAACATACTGTATCCATCTAGATTCCTATCTCCTTTTTCTTATTTGTTTCCTTAGATAATTTATACATTAGAAGTTAAGCAGTCACTGAAAGTGAAATTTCTATCACTTAAAAAATCATTTTATTGGAGGCTCGTAAAATTCTTATCACAATCCATACATACATCCATTGTGTCAAGTACATTTGCACATTTGTTGTCATTCCCCATTTTTTCCCATCACTTTTAACTGAGCGTCAGCAAAGCGGCAAGTTGTTCTAAAGCAGTGGTTCTCAACCTGTGGGTCGTGACCCCTTTGGAGGTCGAACGACCCTTTCACAGGGTTCTCCCAATTTATAACAGTAGCACAATTACAGTGATGAAGTAGCAACGAATATAATTTTATGGTTGGGGGGTCACCACAACATGAGGAACTATATGAAAGGGTCGTGGCATGAGGAAGGTTGAGAACCACTCACTGCTCTAAAGGAACTCCCTCTTGCCTTTTAGACTCATGCATCTCTAAATTCTTACTTTAGTCATATGCACGTCTGAACTAGCTCTGACTGAGCAGAGTGGGAAAAATGTTTGCACACAAATAACTTCATCTCATTTACTTGACCTTCTGCAAGCCATTCTAATTGTACAACAGTATGATACTTTAGGGAATTACTGAGGGACTATTTCTCCCCTGAATCCAGATTATACAAAAGTCAAGCATGTTGCAGTAGAACACCATGTTCTTCTTGTGACAGGTTTATAAGCATAGGAAGAGTGGCTGGACAGAAGGAGCTTTAGTGGAATCTTCTC